CTCTTAATGAGTCTAACATCGAGATGAGCTTATATCTTTAAAATATATGTATTTATGAAAAATATATCAAAAATGCATGTGGGTACTCAAATGAAAGCTCTTGATGAGTGTAACATCAGGATGAGCTTATATCTTTAAAAACGTCAATATTTAAAAAAGTACAGTGCAATTTACCAAAAGTCATTATTTAATACAGCAAAACTCTATTTATTTATAGTTCACATCTCAGCAGTCACGCAGTGACTGCAAGGTTTCTAGTTTAATTCAATTTAACTTTCGAATTTTGATTGTGTAAAAACTATTTTAAGTCATTATATTTCCAAAAATATTAAGAATAGACGCATAGGGAATTTCATAAGCTACAACATTAATGTCTTACAATTTTTACCTAAAATTAATATAATAAGAGTTATTTTTGTCTTTATAGTGTCTAGATAGTGATTTAGCATTTAATCAAAATTTTTTTAATTCCAATAATAATAATTATAATAAAAATCGAATTAAATACGCTAAAAAACCTAAATTTCCCTTTAAAATGATTATTCACATTATTTCTTAAAAAAAAAAGCAACCCGCGAAATTAAAAAAAAAAAGTCAAAATTATTTTTTTTATTTCTTGTCTATATATATCTCGATAATATCAATAAGGAATAATTTATATACATTTTCAATAATAATAATAACAACTTTAATCCACTTTTAACTGAAACATATCAAAGTAAATTGCAAATGATTAATAGACAAGTTAATCTCGAGAAACCGTTGCAATTCTCAATCCACGGTTATCTAAAAGCTGGACAGTATTAACTACAAGTCTAAGTACAAACACATCGGTAAAGTTGACAGTGATAGCGATCTACATTATTAATTCAGCATAAATACTGAGTAATAAGCCGGAGGGTCTCTTACTTTCGATTCACTTATTCAGTTTCAATTACGGGTGTTTTCGCGTGATGATAAACTTTATTTATAAGTGATTAATTAACAAAACTTGAAAACCCATAAATAAATAAATAAATAAATAAATAAAGAGTTAATAAAACTGGAGGTAAAAAATGGAGGCCGGCCGGTGTGGATTCAAAAAATGGGGAATCATGTCCAATAAATAAAATCCTTGAAATCCTTGATTATGTTTAAAGAGAAGTAAAAAAACAGTATTATTAGCATCAATTCAACTTGAGCTGTCACTTGTGCCCGTAAGAGAGTGGTAGATGCTTGATGTACATACGTATGAAGGAATGCATGTACGTACATTGCACTTGTAATGGACTAAAGAGTAAAGACTAAAGACTAAAGAGAGTAAGGTTATATTAGATTTTAAAGCTTGAGAGAGTCGCGTGTCTTCGCTCCTTTTACGTGGTACTGTCTGCGAATGAAGAACGATGGACTTATATATATATATATATATATATATATATATATATATATA